CTAAAGCTGGGTGTCAGTTGATATGTGACTCAGACTTGGTCGTGTAAGGTCATCCCATATTGGATAACTTAGAACTGGTAATCTAAGGTCACCCCATACTGGATAACTTAGAACTGGTAATCTAAGGTCATCCCATACTGGATAACTTAGAACTGGCAATCTAAGGTCATCCCACACTGGATAACTTAGAACTGGCAATCTAAGGTCATCCCATACTGGATAACTTAGAACTGACACTCTAAGGTCATACCATACTGGATAACTTAGAACTGACACTCTAAGGTCATCCCATGCTAGATACTTTAGAACTGACAATGTAAGGTCATCCCATGCTAGATAACTTAGAACTGGTAATCTAAGGTCATCCCATACTGGATAACTTAGAACTGGCAATCTAAGGTCATCCCACACTGGATAACTTAGAACTGGTAATCTAAGGTCATCCCATGCTAGATAACTTAAAACTGGTAATCTAAGGTCATCCCATGCTGGATAACTTAGAACTGGTAATCTAAGGTCATCCCATACTGGATAACTTAAAACTGGCAATCTAAGGTCATCCCATACTGGATAACTTAGAACTGACACTCTAAGGTCATCCCATGCTAGATACTTTAGAACTGACAATGTAAGGTCATCCCATGCTAGATACGTTAAAACTGGTAATCTAAGGTCATCCCATACTGGATAACTGAGAACTGACACTCTAAGGTCATCCCATACTGGATAACTTATAACTGGTAATCTAAGGTCGTCCCATGCTAGATAACTGAGAACTGACACTCTAAGGTCATCCCATACTGGATAACTTAGAACTGGTAATCTAAGGTCATCCCATACTGGATAACTTAGAACTGGTAATCTAAGGTCATCCCATACTGGATAACTGAGAACTGACACTCTAAGGTCATCCCATACTGGATAACTTAGAACTGGTAATCTAAGGTCATCCCATACTGGATAACTTAGAACTGGTAATCTAAGGTCATCCCATACTGGATACGTTAGAACTGGTAATGTGAGGTCATCCCATACTGGAATAGTTATAACTGGTAATCTAAGGTCATCCCATACTGGATAACTGAGAACTGGTAATCTAAGGTCATCCCATACTGGATACGTTAGAACTGGTAATGTGAGGTCATCCCATACTGGAATAGTTATAACTGGTAATTTAAGGTCAACCCATACTGGATAAGTTATAACTAACAATTTAAGGTCATCCCATACTGGATAAGTTAGAACTGACAATATAAGGTCATTTATACTGGATAAGTTAGAACTGGAAATGTAAGATCATCCCATACTGGATACGTTAGAACTGGTAATGTGAGGTCAACCCATACTGGAATAGTTATAACTAACAATTTAAGGTCAACCCATACTGGATAAGTTATAACTAACAATTTAAGGTCAACCCATACTGGATAAGTTATAACTAACAATTTAAGGTCAACCCATACTGGATAAGTTAGAACTAACAATTTAAGGTCATCCCATACTG